GAGAAAAATACTTATCGTTAAATTTTTACAGCCTTAAGAAAATACACTACAGTCGTTAACACTTCGCTTAGGACATCTCCTTACATGATGTTAATTATCCGAACTACAACTTATAAACTGCCTGATATTATATAAATATAATCCATAAGTACAGTCAGTTCTTAAAAATCAAAGTTTATGCGGGTATTTTTTATTTGATCAAACATTCCACCAATTCCTTATTTAAATAAAAAAATCGGAATTCAACGGAATAACGTACTACCCCGCAATTGTGTGCATTTACTTTATTAAAAATGAGTTACAAAAACTAAAATCGAAGAGCCTTGATGAAGTAACAGATTCCTCAAATTCTGAAACAGCCAAAGGAATGTGAATGAAGAATTATTTTCCTTTTTCCTTTTTTTTTCTTTTTCTGCGGATGTTAGCTGTTAGATATTCGCATAGAGGGATATCTAAAATTCCACATTCGCAGCATCCCTAATGTGTACGTAAGCATGTGTGTAAATTGACGTATTAAAAAGTTTATGCACATGTTAATGAACATTTAGTAACTTTTATTTCTATAATTGAGGTCTTATTAATTAACTTTATCAGATAAGTAAATTATAGCACTAAGCCTATGATTACGAAAAAAACGAGGAATTTAACAATAGAGAAAGTCATAAAAAGTTCCCCAAACATATGTGGTGAAAAAAAAAACAGAGACAGTCAGGTGATACCCTGTTGCAGTAGGAAAAACTCCTAACTAAAAGAGGTTTTTTAAACGCATTTAAAAAGCAAAATTGTTTATTAAAAATTTAATGATCATTGTAGGCAAGTTCAGTTTACGGTAAGCTCAGAAAGCACGCCGTTTCGATGGAGTGGGACCAGTGAGCTGACATGGGACTCATTGGGGATAACGGGGTCGAGTATAGATAAGTAGCTGTTTAGGCGGCTACAATATCCAGACGGTTGGCCCAGAAGGATGCGGGCCTGGCGTGGCAGCGAAGCTTTGTCGCTGTACGGAGCGCGGCGTTCTGATAAGTTTGCAGCTTCGACCACTCCGTCCAACTAGTTCCATAAAAAATCGGTAGTGTTTAAGTATAAATCGGTAAAGTTTTGGCAGAGTTATTAAAGTTTTTCTTAAACCAGTCTTTGAAATAAGATCAAAAACAGCATCAAAAACGTCATTATTACGACTCCGTTGAATTTTTTTTCATGTTTTTATGCAATTGTTTTAAGCTTAAACTATTTTGTCATCTGAGGGAATATTTTTCAAAAAATCCTTTAAGAAGCTATTCTTATTTATATGGTGGAAGTCTTAAAATATAATAAACTTTGTAATCCCGACGGAAAACCCCAACTTTTTTTGGTGATGCAGTCTAATCTACATACATACATATATAGGAAGAAATTATATTATTCGCTATTTATTACCAGGTTAGTGTTAGTAGAAAACTTCTTCAGTACCATTAAAAACTTAAGTGATAGTGCTATTCTGTTTCACTGTAACTAAATTTAATGCAATATTTAAACACTCACTATATATGTATGTAAATATAAGCTGCCAGTAAAAATATTTTCACTTAACTTTCAAAAATTAATGCTTATACAATTTTTTCAGCCGAAATTTCATATGCCGCGTGTACATACAAAATTTACAGGATTTGGTTGGAGAAAGCCCCATTTCAGAATTTGGTTGAAAACTCACAATCTCCGAATTTGATTCAAACACGTCTTGTCTCAACTGAGAATATATTAAAAATATGACGATATAGGGCGTTTTTGAACCGAATGGTAAAATAGAGCATTCTTCAACCAAATTGTGAAATAGGGCGTTCTTGAAAAGTCTTCTGAGATAGGGCATTTTCGAACTGGCTTCCGAGATAAGTCCGTCAATATGAAAATATCGATAAGAGACATATACAGATGCTAAAACATATCGTGTAAGAAGGCTTTAAAAGCTTTGTTGTGGCAAAAATCTTTTAGATTATTTAATCATCATTACCAATCGGTCACAGCGTAGATTTGTATTTGTTTTTAGTAATCTCGAGAAACAAATTTCAAAATTATATATTGACATATGCATTAGCTTTTACCCCTGAAATGAAGTGTGTGCATTTGGCGTCCTCGTTGTTTTTTTTCAGAGATTACAACCATTTCAACGTAATTAATAATACTCCATAACACTCCTTTGGGCACACAAATTACGCAAATGCTACATTCAATTCCGTTGAAACTTTCAACAAAATAATTACCGTCCAGGGGCGCACCCCATAATATATTTTTGGGGGTTTTATACCTATAAATATATATCATCAGAAAATACTGATAATTCGCTCCTTAAAATACATTCATGCAAGTTTTATGTACAGGATATAATAAAAAAAGTTTCATACATTTTTTAAAGTTCCATAAATTGCATTTTATTTACATAAAATTAACAAAGAACTCCAACATTTTTAACCGACTTTAAAAAAGGAGAGATTATCAATTCTTCGGAGTATTTTTCTTCTTTTATGTATGCCACCGCATAACTTTGGACCGCGTGAACCGATTTCAATAATTCTTTTTTTTTATCGGAAAGAATGTACCTTAAGCGTCATCCCGTAATTTGCTTTACATACGACCATTGGAACATGAAAAAATTAAGGGTACTCCTTAATTTGTATTTGAAAATTGAAGTGGCTGTATTTTTGCTTAAAAATTACTTTTTCAATAAAAAGCTCTATAAACACAAGATGTGCTCAACTTTCAAAAGTAATAAAAAATGTTACAGAAGAGTTGAACCCCAAAACCTACCCCTTGTGTGCGCTAATGTTACCGTCGAATAATAACACTGTGAAACACATTTTTCTAACTGAAAAACAGCCAACTCAGATCGATAGTACTGATCTAGAATAGCAAAACTCTAAAAGGGGTTTGCACAGTTAGCTCGCTTTCAAAAGATATTGGCGTTCAAAATTTGGCGCTTGCATTTAAAAAATAAAATTTTCATTACAAAATTTATTCATCGTCATTGTCTAATACAACGTAATCATCCAGTAAATCGTTTACGTCGAGCTCTATTACTTCTTCTTCGTCTGATTCTTCGTACGTCTTCATACTCCACCAACAAATTTACGCTAATATTGTGTCAGGTGATTGCTTTCCTCTATACCTTTAAAACGGTATAAGTCAATTTAACGTTAATGGACAAATAAAGTTTAGTAAAATTTACCTCATCTCGAAAGGAAGAGAAAGCTTATGATACCGATCGTCTAATTCAGTTGGTAACTGTTGGCTGAAGTGTCGCAAATAACTCAAACAAAAAATACCATGTCTTATATTTCAGAATTTCGTTGTGATATTTAAAGTTTCTTATATGGAAAAATGACGTGGTATTCCGCTTTTGCCCATTTATACAAAACGGTGAGATAAACTCACGAGAAATGTGTATGTGAATTTGGATAAATTTGATGAAGCGGTTTTTCAGATACAAACATTTGATTTAAATTAGGCGTGGTCGCACCCACATTGCAAGCCTTATGCAGAAACGGGGCATGACATCTGTTTTCAATTTACTTAATAAATTTGAAGAACTTCGCTTCCAGAAGTGGCGTTATATGAAAAGTAGGCGTGGTTATTGACCGATTTCGCCCATTTTCCATACCTAATGATAACCTACCTAATAATAACATACCTAATAATAACCTGTGCACCGAGTTTCATCGAGAAACTAAAATTTTACTTATGATAGAGCCTGCACAGACGGACGGACAAACGGACGGACAAACGGACGAGCAGGCGGTCTTACGGACAGTCAAACATGACTAAATCAATTATTTTCGCTTTTCTGAACACATCTATAAATTTATCTATAACTATCCCGTAATGCCGTTACAATATTCTGAGGAGCTCCTATGAAGAAAAAAAAATTAAAAAATTGGTGCAGAAAATTACCCTGGAAAAGTTTAACTTTGACCCACTATAACTTTTGAAGGTGAGCTAACTTTTTAAAACGCTTTGAGAGTTTTGTTATCCTAGTCAAGTATTCTCGATCTGTGTTGGCCGCTTCCCCGTTAGATTCCATGACCCTAAAATTGTTGCACAGTGTAATCAGCGAGCGCTTGAATATCGACGGTCACGAATAAAAGCAGTTACGCCTACGCTGACACCATCAACAATGTTGATACTCAGTGTTCATATGCGATTAGTGTTGCATGACCTGCCGCTGACCGCCATTAATGCATCTATTATGTTGGTTTTTCGTTTGCGGTAGTAGAGATCTAGATCTACTAATATACTGAAAGGCAATGGATTAAGGCGATGTAACCAAACCGCCAATACAAAATGAAAAGTATGAATTCAAAACTCAAGAACAAAACAGAAGAGAATTCTAATTTATTTTTAAAAAGTTAGCTCTTTATTTGGGGTAGTCACTGCTAACAGCATGCACTATCATAATGAAAGGGCACGTCAGAACAAATGAGCTTATAAAAGTCCCCCCGCGCGGTTCAATAGGAAAAATGAAGTGCCAGTTGAATGACATTTCATACAGTTGGAATGTTTGTGTGCAGCGGCGTGGGTATTTCCCTCAGAGTAAAACTCACAGCCGACTGCTTGCGGTCGCTTTGGGTGCCTTTATTTTGGTTTTTTTTTAGAGTTTTCTTATCCTAATCAAGTACTATCGATCTGTGTTGGTCGCTTCCCCGTTAGATTCCAGAACCCAAAATTGTTGCACGGTGTACTCAGCGTGCGCTTGGATACGACGGTCACGAATAAAAGCAGTTACGCCAACGCTGACGCCATCAACAATGTTGATACTGAATGTTAATGTACGATTAGTGTTGCATGACCTGCCACTGACCGCCATTAATGCATCTATTAGATTGGTTTTTCGTTTGCGGTAGTAGAGATCTAGGTCTAAGTTAACTGAAAGGCAATGGATTAGGGTCGACTGCCGCGATGTAATCAAAACGACAATACTAAATGAAAAGTATGAACTCAAAACTCAAAAACAAAACAGAAGAGAATGCAAATTTATTTTTAGCTCTTTATTTGGGGTAGTCACTGCTAACGGCAAACACTATCATAATTAAAGGGCGCGTCAGAACAAATGAGCTTATAAATGTCCCACAGTCGCGGATCAGTAGGAAGAATGAAGTGCCGATTGAATGACATTTCATACAGTTGTAATGTGTGTGTGCAGCGGCGCACAGAGTAGTAAAACACCCAGCCGACTACTTGCGGTCGCTTTGGGCGCCTTTATTGTGGTTTTGTTGATGTTTACGTTGGCGTTGATAGCAACTGGCGATTAAGGCAATTAAAGATGAATAATAAAGCGAACAGCTTCAGACGACAATCGGGGCTACAAAATTGGAACGATCGAGATCTATATCTGGCCAAGGCCAGTCTCTTTAGCTTTTGTTGATAGGTTTAAAGCATCCATATGAATAACTCGTCGAGTTTTTTTTTTTGCTAACTTACCCATTAGGCACGGAGATATTCGCTCCATCAAGTATTGCCTGTGCTAATTCGAAATTTAGCTCTTCTGCCGCATTTGTAGCTGCCCGCAGTGCATCCCAAATTTCTTTACGACCATCGAACGCCGGCGCAGTGTCCCAGAATTCGTCGCGTTTCGAACGCAGTTGGCCCTCAGTCAGTGGCACATCGGAACGCCAACGTATCGTCTCATTGCACAGGGGTCGATTTTTGCGCGATGGGCCCATTTGACCGCCGCCTAAAACAAATACGGCAAGAGTTAACGTGCATAAGCAAATGAATGTGTGCATTGATGATAGCGCTGGTTAGACCATTTCGCCGAATTTATTACTCACCCGCGGCTGTTGTTGGCCTCGAAACGCTCGCAGAAGACACACTGACTGTCTCATTATCGTTGCTGTGTATGCCAATGCAACCACCCATATTTCGCGTATACTCGATGTGTTACGCGTCCACCAAGTCAGCGTTCCAGCGCCGGAAAACACGTTCACACTTATGACCGTATGTGATCAAAAATATTGATGGATACGACGGAATTATATCGGTTCGAATTGGAAATGCAAATGTTATTACTGCGCCACGAACTGTTGCGATTTGCTGTTGCTACTTGTTATTTTAGTGAAATTTATTTTTGCTTTTTCACTTTTTCTCGCTTCATACAGCCGCGCCGATTTTTTACAATTTTACATATTTTTCCTTTCAAGCTTTCACGTTGTCTTGCCCTTTCGACTGTTGCACCCGCGCGACCAGAAACCTGACTCACTTTTGATATGTTTTTCTTCGCACCGTCGACGAAAACTTGGCAAATAATACATTTGCGTTGGGTAAAAATTTTGTTGGTTGTATATTTTTTCTATTTTACACTGATAATTCTTTTTTCACACTTTAATTTATTCACCAAACATTTCCGCAATATTTCCACGATCCCTGCTCAGAATTTTTTTCGTCTTCAACTATTTCAATTCCATTCACTGATTTGACAGCTCCGTGCGGAGTAGCCACTTGCTGGTATTTTTCACACACAAATCACGTAAAAACATCGCAACGGGTGCATTTTCTGATTTGTTGAGGAATTATACGGCGTTTCCAAACTTCGTAATTTGCTCTCACATTCGTAATTCGCTCTCCCATTCGTCATTCGCCTTGCCAATTGCCTTACGAATTACGTAATTCGACATACAAAATTTTAAGAGCGAATTACCTCATTTATAGGTAATTCTGATCGAATTACTATGCGAATAACTAACGAAACGGTGCCTTGTCTAATATTTATCGGAAATTTATCGAAGTTTTCACCGGCCTCCTCCCATTTGCTGGTACTTTTTCTAGTTATTACAACAGTTAGTGCAATATTAATAAAATATTCTCTGTATAAATTAAAATTGTTGGTGATAACTTAAATTTTAGCTCCATCTTCCAAGAACAAGAACTAGAGCTGCCAAACGAATTACTAATATGTGACATGGAAACAGGATAATGCAGCGTTTTTGCTGCATTTAAAATGCAACATTAAGCACTTTTGAACATATATTTTCGAAGAGCGTTCATGCTATGGCTTTAGCAAATGTACATTTACGCGAGTTCGAAATCATATCTATTACGATCAAATCTCACGCAGAAGATATGTGCAAAAAACCCTACTGAAAAGGAAAAAATAAGTTTTAAATCAAAAATTCAATACAAAAGCTTGAATTGTTTTAACCATAACCGAACATATGTATGTGTATGTAATCATTTGTCGGTGGTGTCAATTAAAATTTCCTCACTTAATTAGGAAACAAAACAAACAGATTTGATCACAAATTGATCCAGATTTCTATCATCGATGTGATGGATGTTGAATTTGCGTAACTTTTCTTTATCCAAATAATGTAAAATAATAAATGAAATCTCGATCGG